AAATGCGTTTGAAAAATTTATATTCTTCCGCATTCGATTCATTTACTGGCTTACTGCAAGTAAACAAGCTCGCTAAGAAAATACAGCCCGAGACACAATTGAAAAGCAAAGACAATAGAAACGAGCAATAATAGAATTCAATCTACCAGAATTCCATGTATTCTTATATACATCAATCCCTGATAACTCTGATAAATTAAAAGTTATTATTCGCTGTTTCTATTACCTGTTTTTATTACCTTTTCAATTATGTCTCAAGCTTAAAAGACAAATGTCCTACAATAAGCCTATATATACTCATGATATAAGAAAACAAAATGTCATAACATAAGAAGATAAGAAATGTTCTCCTTCATTTTTTTCGGCTGATATTCTTGTCGATGCAAGTAACCTTGGCGAAAATAAAAATCGGAACATAAGCTGAATAAACAAAGAGTAAAACCGGAAACACAATGAAAAACACAGACAATAGGAATAGGGAATAAGAGATTTCAACATATCAGAAAAGCGTTCATTCTTGTATACATGATTTTTGATAGGTTGAAATTTGTAATTTTCTGTTCCTATTGTCTATGCTTTTCATTGTGTTTCAGGTTTAACAGAAATGCAATGAAACTTCTACGAAGAGTAAATTGCCAAACATAAAAAAAAACGTTTTTTTTTCTTTAAGTAAACGTTTTTCGCTGTTTCTTATGTTTTGTAGAAGCTTCATGGACGTTTCTGATATTCTTTCTTTACATTTCTGCTCCAGTTTTTATTTTTATCAGGGAAATGACTCAGGAATTAGTCTCAAAGATGCTGCAAAGAAATATAGCAGATACTACTTATTATGAATGTTATAGACTAAAATTAGATTAGTTTTTGAAACTTAATTCAGTTTTTATTAATATACTTATATAAATATTGCTATATACTCGCGTATATATTCGCTAATCAATTTGTTGCAAACTTCTAAAAAAAAAAACGTAAAAATTTTAACTTTAATTATATTTTTCATAATTAATTTATCTTTTTCATACAGCTTTCGCATTTAATATCAACTTCTGATTGCCATTCTATGCAGTCACGCTTCTTTTTTATACAACAAAAACAAGAATATAAAAGTTGTTTATATCAGAGTACAATTCTCTGATATATAGTTGCCTATAATGTAATCCAAACGCCTTACTATTAGAACAATAAGTACGTCCGTAAAGTGTGAAATAAAATTATTAGTGGTATACAGGAGCGAGGTAAATAAAATGCATATTAATTTCTCTTAGGAAAAAAATGGTATAAATGCTGAATGTCCCCCTCAGAGAATTATGTACTTGTTAATTCACATATTTTGTCCTTTCGATTTTCGATATTCTAGAAATTAATCTGCCTTAAACAACACCTCAACCTGTATATAACTTTTTTCTGCTAAAAGGAGCTTGTTTCAGCTACAACTTGTTCTAGCGATTATATAGTAGTAATTACGCATAGTATACATGTACATCCTGCATGAAAGAATCGCAAACTGCATTTCGTCCATTAAATGTTAAGATTCCTTATCACTCAGTGCTTTTGTGGAAAATATTACATTTTTCTAATGGTACATTCTCAATTGTTGTATTTTTTTACGCGATTTTTGTTGTTTGTTGAAACTGACGGCAATAAAAATTCTACAATCATTGTATGTAAGATTGTATATTAAAGATGATTATTTATATTTTACCTTCATTATTTTTAAGATTTTAGCACGTAATTTTCCGTTATTACTGATGCTTGATCAGCTTGATACAACTATATAAAAAAATCTCGATTTCATCATTATATCAGAAAAATGTTTTATATGGTTATTTAATTTCTATTAAAAATTGAATAATTTATTAAAACCTAAACATTAATTTTTAATTAAAATATTATTGGATATTATATATATAAATATAAAAAGTATATAATAAATATCTAAATTTTTAAAAAATTGAAAAAATACCTACGTAATAATATGCTACTAGTTTTCTACATTTCAATCTTGATACAGAAAATTTATCATTTTAGCAAAGTAGAAAAATGTTTATAGCTCCAAAATTCATCAAAAAATTCGTCGTAAAAAAACCTATAAAATTATAATAAATTTATTCAAATAGTTTATTGTCTCGTTACAATTCGCGCGTTTACTCTGTCGATATAACAGCTCCCCTAACCTTAAAAAATGTCTTTCAGGATGATTTACTTCACTATTGTAAGAACATTTTCTCAAATAATTTTTTCAAACGTAAAGAAAACCTTCTTCTATATGATTATCAAAGAACACATTTAACATTTAATATTATATTATCTCTCTCAAAATCATTTTGCTTTCCTTCTCTATCCCTAACTACTTCTTCATGTTAAGTGCAGAAAGTGTAACAAAGTGTATTTAATAGTTGCTATTTACCACATTGATATCCAAACATAGTATATGGTCATAAATAATGTTGTAAACAAAAATAGGATATTCTCCTCTTTTCCCTCATAAATTACATCTACAACTTACGAATCTTGAGAGATATTAAAATTGTTGAGAAGAAAAATGAGCAAGTTTGATGCTTGTCCGGTCACAATGATGCGACAGAGGCGTATTTTTTCAGCGAAACGTTAATCACGTATCACGTTGTGAGCACGTACGTACCTTGATCAATTTCTCAAAATGGTGCTCCGCGAGTCAAAGTCTTTGAGTTCACAAGATGCAAGAAACGTTTGACAATATGATGTGAACAATTTCCGTTATTACACGCGCAAACTGCGTAACCGGTACGCGGGCAAACTTTACAAGAACTCAGAGTATGGTCATTGAGAACAAATCTTGCAGAGATAGTCGAGCTAATGGCAACTAATGGGCGCGTTTATAGTATCACCGACGAGATACTATTAAAGACCGTCAACCCTGGGCAAATTTTCAGCAGTATAAAAGAGCCTCAAGGGTCCGGAGGTAATTGAAGAACGCTGACATTATCGACAATTGATATAAATTTCCATTATTAACATAAATATTGGGCTTATACATTATTAAATTCATAATTTTTTATTACATAAATGTTTCACAAATAAATATGCATACTTGTAAAGCTGTAATATTTTATATATTAAAAAATTACAATTTTTTTTCTCTGCAGTTGTCATCTCTGTTGATAAACAAACTTTGACGATAACACTAAAATCACAATTTTATAGAAAAATCGAATATTATTGATGAATCAAATATTCTAAATGCATAAATACGTCTATTAAACTGATAAATCATAAAATAAGTATAATATTAATAATATCTTATTATAATAGTATCTTATCGGTGATAGTGTATAGAGTCCTAGAGGTCGATTATGTATATTGAAACGAGGTAAAAATTACAAAAGTAAGCGAATTTACTAGAATACTGATAATTTCATTGGTCAACATCTAGTAAATTTACTCACTTTTATAATTTTTATCTCATTTCAAGATACATAATTGGGGGTCAATTCTGTGTTTTCAAACAAAGTAAAAATTACATAAATGAACAAATTTATTAGGTATTGACCAATGAAATTATCAATATTCTACTAAATTCGCTCACTTTTGTAATTTTCACCTCCTTTTAAAATCCACTGTCTCCTGCGGCAGTAACTGCATAAACGAACACATCTAAGTTGTGCCCGTTTTTGTCAAACTCTGATTATAGGATCTCTAATAGTACAAAATGCTGAAATTGTAGACTACCACCGCGAATTCTGATTGGCTGCCGCTTTTTCGCTTTCTGCTTTTTCGTCAAAGTGTGAACGCGCCCTAATGGCTCTGACACTGAACGCTGATTGGTGAAAAACGGGTGATAGAGATAAATTTTATCCTCATAACTAGCTTTTCACCAATCAGCGCTTTGTGTGTATGATCGCTGTTGCTGTGTGAGAATCCGGGTTAATCTTCCATACCGTGCTTGTTTTCAGATTTCCACTCTATGTTTCTTTGATCCTTTCTACCCGTGATCAGACGAGTCGTGTAAACGCAGTCTGGTTAGGTTTCGTCTCATGCGTGAAAAGTAATAGGAAAGACACACGAGATGGTAAGAAAATCGATTTTTCATGTGTAAATATACATCGCGGTTTTCTTTTCTGTCGATTTTGCGTGATCGCCCGTTTAATTTCCTCGAGAATGATAACGCTCGTCTGCGACTCGTTTCCGGCACACCATATGTAATATCTTCCCTATGAATACCTTCTTTTCGAATTATTTATACATTGTTCTCCGATAACAGCTGAGACAGAATTTTTTTTCATTATCGCGACAATAACTGCAAGAATATAAGGATCCAAAATTTATCAGCACATGACTACATTCTTCGGTACCACGTGCATGTATTGAGACACGATGTCCGGTCCGCCATTGCGATAGCTGTCGCGTATGTGAAGCACGAGCATGTAGTTTCTGTGGATCCTTGAACAATGATCAGGAAATCGATTATGTATCTTGAAAGGAGGTAAAAATTACAAAAGTGAGCAAATTCACTACATTCTAAAAATATATTTATGGATTTGGCACCATGCTGTCACTATAATTCTATACAATTTTCACAACTGACTTGGCGTTAATATTAACATTAATAATATAATTATGTGGATTTGACATCACGGTCCGTATTCAGAACGCTTTTACAACGATGTGTTAACGTGCTAACATACTATACACATATAGAACTTTAGAGATAAAAATGTTTTCAAGAGGGCTATAGATTTCAACAGGTTATAGATTTTAAACCCACATTATGATGGTGTTGATAGTAATACCAAGGGTCTTAAATCCATATCATATTGGTCTTAATGATTACATTTACACGGTACTCTTAATTAGGTTTAATGACATCCATAGTGAAACTGGTCAATTATAGTCGTTCCATTCTTTCGAAAAACAGCTATGATTGGTCAATTTCATAACTATGGATGTATTAAATCTGATTAAGCGTGCTGTATAATATAGGTCAATATTAAATGAGATAAAAATCACAAAAGTGAGCGAATTTGTTAAAATATTTGTAACTTTTTTTTATTGGTTAATACCTGTATTCTAAATATCGATGTAGATTTAGCACAGTTAATCTATATAATTCTTACTATGTTGGTGTTAATATTGAGTTAGAGGAAAAGTGTTGCGGTATTTTGTTAACTCAAAATTATATATACAATATTTTCGTTAAAAATAATCAAGATTTAAATTTAAAAAAGAATTTTAAAGCTTGAAATCTCTACTTTCGAATGATTACTATATTTTTTGAATTTATATGAGTTTTGTAATTTTTATAGAAAACTTCAAGCTGAAGAAAAGGGGAAATTTTTTTCGTGTCACATGCCAAAAAAATTTGCGAAAATTTTCGACTGTATTTATAGTTTTTTTTTTTTAATATTTTTACAATTTTTTGTTCTTGAGTACTTATTCACGAATTAAGTAAAAAAGAACATTCTGACTTTGATTGCTCATAACTCCATTAAAAATCATCATACTGCAATTAAAAAAACAGTGATTCTTAAAACTGAAACATTGCTCTATTGAATAGTATCATGTTTTTAAATGTAAAATATATAGAAATTTGAGTTAAAAATGTGATATTACTATCCTTAAATAATCATTATGCAAAAAAACGACAACAATATCACATTTTTAGTTCAAATGTATATATAATCTATGTTTTAAAAAATTGGCAAATACAACACTTGATAAAGCAATGTTTCACACACAGTTTTAAGAATCTATTTTATTAATCCTTACCATATAAGGTCAAGTCACTAATAACCGAGTGATTCCTATCCATGCAAGTTTCTTTGAGTCTTGATAAATTATACATTTTATTATTTTCCAAAATAAAGTTTCAATATTTATTCTAGAAAATTGTTGCAAAATTGAAAGCATTGATAAATTTTTAGGGATTTTTTGAACTATTTTGAATAAGTGAAAAAAACATTCTAATGACCCATGTTTGGATGGATGAGGCATCAAATTGTACCTTTTGTTGTTAATTATGGTATGATGATTTTTTTAACGGAATTATAAGCAATCAAAATCAGAATGCTTTTTTATTTAATCTGTGTGTAACTTGATAACAAAAAATTGTAGGAACATTTTTTAAAAACAAACTTTTAGAAAAAACTTTAAACTTTCACGTCAGATAGTCGAAAATTTTGTAACAAATATATTTTGTATATAATTTTGAGCTAACAAAATTCCACAGAACTTTTTCTCCAACCCAATATTAACATTATATTAGATTTAGTAAACTCTACATTTGTTAAATCTGATTTTTTAGAGAGTAGATATTTACCAATAATGTTACAAATATTCTAATAAATTTTCTCATTCTTGTACTTTTACACATTTCAAGATACACCATTGTGGTAAAAATTATGTTACGAATGACCGTAATTTTAGTGAAAAAGAATCCTGATGCTGCAGACAAAAACAATTTTTTTAATTTTTAATTGTAGCAACATGTATTTTTTGTAGCTATGTGCTATACAAAAATCTGAAATCTGAATTTCTGAGAACGTTTTTTCAGTGATATTTATAAATAAAATTGAAGAACAAGAAGTATATGACTCATTATTCTTATGAATAACAACGTTATTATATATTTATCTGGGGCGCCAAATAGCTCGCCGCTCAGTGTGATTGACTCGTGATCTGTGGATTCAGGTTCGATTTTACCTGCGCCCCATATATGCGATTTTTTTATGTTCATCATTCAATCTTCATCAACTTGGTAATCTCCTCGAGTGTTGACAAACTCTAAGGAGTAAGAATGTAAACTAGTACCAAATACAAAAATATAAGGGACCTTCTCCGAAGAGGCTCCTAAAGTTAAATTGATATTCATGGTACTTTGAGCCCTCAAAAAATGGGGTCGGAAAACAAAAAACATAATATATTCATCTAAATTGTTCTAACATTTTTCTTTTTTTTAGTCGTTATCAACGGCGCGACCACTTATTACGGTCTACACTGATAAGAATGAGGCATCGGGTGATACAATTTCCCTGCCATCTGTCTTCAAGGCACCAATTCGTCCTGATATTGTTAATGTTATCCACCAGTTGATTTCTACAAACAGAAGACAACCGTACTGTGTTTCTAAAGAAGCCGGTAAATATCGATGGCTGTATTTAGTAGAAAAAACAGCTTTGTAACTGTTGTAAAATTCTTTTACATAATTAGATAGACATTTAGATCCAGCAAGGATCCAAAGACAAGAATCAATCATATTAAAGAATCTTACTATAGTTGCAACTGCTTTTTCTACTAAGCCATTATCTTCATTTTATTAATTTCATTATTATTACGATGATGATTATTACAATATTTGAATAATAAATAAGCATAAAAAGATAATAGTTTTTATTTTTCACAGGTCATCAAACCTCTGCTGAGTCATGGGGTACTGGACGTGCTGTGGCCCGTATACCTCGTGTACGTGGCGGTGGTACCCACCGTTCTGGGCAGGGTGCTTTTGGTAACATGTGCCGAGGCGGGCGTATGTTTGCACCTACTAAGCCGTGGCGTCGTTGGCATCATCACGTCAACGTCAATCAGAAGCGTTATGCTCTCGTTTCTGCCATTGCCGCCTCTGGTGTTCCTGCACTTGTCCAATCTAAAGGTATGTATCTTTTATGTAGATAATATTTTTTATTAAAAAAAACGAAATGTTTATGAAATTTTATTAATTTTTTTTTTTTTTTTTTTTTT